AGAGTGGAACACACAGTGGGTCTCCACCTTCCTCATGCCGCGACCCTTTCATACAGTTCCTCTTGTGGTGGTGACCCACCAACCATAAAACTATTTAGTTGCTACTTAATAACTGTCATTTTGCTGCTGTTGTGAATTGGGCGACCCTGTGAAAGGGTCGTTCAATCCCCCAAACGGGTCGCGACCCACAGGTTGAGAAACACTGGCTTAGGGTTTTTGAAGCTGCAAATCTTTACAGGAGCAGGCAGCCTCATCCTTTTCCTGCAGAATGTCTGATGTTTTTGAAAGGCAGACCTTGAAGTTATCAGCCCAACACTTAATCCATGATGCAACCAGGGGTACATTGCATTATACATTATTTTACAGTTAACTTCTCATAGCCCCGAAGATAAAAGTTTGACCCTCTAAGTGAGCATTTCTTCTGTTGTAGGATATTTTCAAATTAATTTGTTCCATAGCTGGTCAGTTTATAGAAAGAATGCTTACAAAAAATGATAAGTATGACGCATTTTCAGTCATTCCAGTGGTGTGAAGAGCTTCAGTAACTGCAGCATGGAAGATTTTGCACGTTTTTTTTCAAAGCCTACATCCCAGTGTCTTCAAAATCATCCACGCTTTGATCCTTCCTACAAGGCCGCAACTTGTGGAAATGGAGAACTAGAAGAAGGCGAACAGTGTGACTGTGGATCTAAGGAGGTAATTGGAAGAACAGGATATCTCAGAATTATATAAATGTTAATTAAATATTGTAGTTTTACAGTGTCATTATTCTTAGTTTATCAAGTGCTATTTTCTATGAAGGGCTAAGGAAAACGTATTGTAACAAATTATGACAAACTAATGAGTTTATATATTGATATATGGATACAATGATTTATGAATTGTTCATATAAGTAATTTCCGTGGTAACATAAATCTTTTTACCTGGCTTTATCATCTTAAGTATATTCTTACTGAATATTTCTTTATAAGTGAGGCTCATCAGTTATTTGGGAAAATAGACATACATCTTTCACAAAAGGACTTAAAAGTATGTGAGGTTTACATGTGGATTTGACTGGTTTAGTTCGGGTTTATATTTTAGAAAGAATGTTTGGGACCACACATAACTACAAAGCCAGGGTCTCTACCCATAGAATTTCTCGGACATAGCTGCACTTGAAGGGAGATGGGGAAGCACAGAAATGAAGGGGTACAATGAAGGTAGACACTGTCATAGTGAGTGGTATGGACGTTAAAATAAGCAGAAAACATGAATGGCATTTAGGGTTCCCTACTGCAATGGCTAAAGCCATTTGTGTGTACCCTCCAAAACATGAAAAGTGTATCTCTAGATACAAAGGTTAATAAAGTGCATTTTACAAAATTACTGTAACAAGCTTCCATTTGTTAGTTGTTGGTTGTTCCATAAAGAAATATCTTAGATTTTCATGAAAAAATAGTTTGAACAAAGCTAAGCTCTATTATGTGTCAGGTAATTGAGCTCTAAACCATTATGACATATTTTTCCCCTCGAAATCTATCTAAAAGGCAAAAGCAGCAGCATTTCTTAAACAGAATTGTCTGGAACTTTGGTATATCCAGTATGCCATAGTAAGTTCCTTGCTATGAATTACATTAAGATTAAAGAAATCCTCAATTACTTTTGTGTAATATGTTTTGTTTTACTAAGAGTTTTTTAATCAAATATGGTTGTCAGATTTTGTCAAATGCCTTTCCTGTATTATTTGTTATGATTGTGTAGTTGTTTTCCTTTGTTTTACTTAGATGGTGGATTACATTAATTTTTTTTTCTTTTTTCTTGATTTTTAACTTTTTAAATTATTTTTCTAAGGTTGAACCTTCTTTTCATACGTAGTATGAATCCTACTTGATTAGAAATATTGTCATTATTTTTGATATTTTAGCAGATTCTATTGGCCAGGGTTTGTGGAGTATTTTTTCCTCTATGTTCATGAGTAATATCAGTCTGTTGTTTTCTATTCCAGTAAGGTCTTTGTTTGGTTTTGGTAGCAGGGATATGTTTACTTCAGAAACTGAACTCAAGAGGTTGTCGTTCTTTCTGTATTATGGAATAGTGTAAAAATTGGTGTCAATTCATTTCTGAATGCTTGGTAGATTTCTCCAGTGAAGCCATTGGGCCTGGAATTTTTTAATGACATATGTTTATTCTTATGTAAATTATATATTGAGATGTTCTACATCATTCTATATTAATTTAGGTGAATATTGAATTTATAGAAATGTATCCATTTTTATAGATTTGGTTTTATTTTTTTCAACCATTGGATTAGGACATAATCCAGACATCAGACAATTCAATAGTTCAAACACACTGAGATGTGTTGTACAGTCACCATCACAACCAGCCTCAGATCATTGTTTTCCTTCTTGTATTTCTTGTCATTAGCTTCCTGTTACTATCAACCTCCCCTGCTGTATCTCCCAGCAGCCCTCAATCTAGTTATGTGTCTATAGATTCTCTCATTCTGGGCCCCATAGAGCAAAAATCATAGAATAATACGTGACAGGAAATCAGGAAGGCTACCAGCAATAACAAAATACAACAGAGATAAACCTCAATTTGAAAGAAAATACTAAAATACCTTAATTTCTTATATTGTCCTAAATATCATCCTCTTGTATTCTCTTTCTGCTATTTCCAGGGCTTCTTTTTCTGTGTATTTCATTGGATTTGTATGATCTTCAATTGTTAGCTTTTGCTTATCAGACTTTTGGTCATTACTGCTGTTGGCTGTTGTTTGCCCGGCATAGCAGTCTAGTAGTATATTGTGCGTAGGGTTCTGGGTTACATAGGAGAGGAATTGGCTCTGTGGATTAGAGTAAAGATATTTAATAGGTGCTGAAAATTGTATTCTGTGTTGGTAAGGAAGAAGTGATAGAGTTGGGTGTATAGTACGAGTGTGGATGGGAGCAAGAGAGCAGGGTTTAATTGATGATATTAATAGTAGGTGGTCTTCTGGCTACATTAATAATTTTTAATAAATTGAAAAAAGGGATTTTAAGAGCTGTTTTAGTACATGTTAATTTATGGGAAAGTGTGTCTCATTGGGAAAGGGGGAATGGGGTCATGAGGTAGTAGTGGGTAAGGTAGGAGGAGAATATGACCTGGTATACACATCAGACAGTGCACAATACACAGTGACTTCAGCAAACAAGAGAAGCAGTCAAATTAAAGAAGTAAGTCTAAGCTGAGTGCCACAAGAGACAAAGTCGTAAGTCTTTTTTTGAGTAACTAGTTCTAGAGATGAAAGTGCTAAGCCTCTTGATTGAGGGCCACTAGTCTGTGTCTCGGTTGTTTTCTTCCCTCAGAATTGGAGGGGGGGGGCCTATTGTGGTCCTAGACAAAGGACTATGGTGGGGATGTCTTTCCCATTTACTCTTAGTGGAAGATGAGTGTGTCTTTGATTTTTGGAGCGAGGCCTGAGGTTCTAACGTCTACAGTGATCAGGTCATTTAAAAATAAAAGAATTGTGCAAAGGCTGCAATGGACAAGAATCAAGCTAGGTGTCTGTTTTGAGTCAGGGCCACAGAGAGCTCAGAATCCTTATTTCCTGGCCCACCGGAAGCACTCCGAATCCCTCAGAGGGGATACTCTAGGTCAGGACTTGGTTCCTTATTTTTCTTTAGGAGAGAAGAACATGTTAGTGTTTGGCCCACCTACTCTTTTTTTTAATTATTAAATAATCATTTTATTAGGGGCTTATACAACTCATCACAATCCATACATGCGTCATTTGTGTCCAGCACATTAGTACATATGTTGACTTCATCATTCTCGCGCTTTCCACTTGAGCCCTTGGTGTCAGCTCATTTTCCCCCCTCCCTCCCTGCTCCCCCCTCCCCCTTGATAATTTATAAATTATTATTTTATCTTATCTTACCCGATCCAACGTCTTCCTCACCCACTTCTCCACTGTCCATCCACCAGGGAGGAGGTTATATGTAGACCTTGTCGTCTGTTCCCCCTTTCTCCCTCACCTTCCCTCTACCCTCCTGCTATCGCACTCTCTCCACTGGTCCTGTGGGGTGGGGACCCAGGGCCCATCCAGGGGAAATTGGACATTCCCTTGCAGAAGGGCTGCGGGGAGGAGAGGAGCAAATCAGAGTGCAGTGTAGTAACGGTGAAATGTGCAATTTTCCTCTAGTTCTTAAATGCTTCCTCCCCACCACTACCATGATCCCAATTCTACCTTACATATCCGGCTGGACCGGAGGATGTACACTGGCACAGATAGGAACCGGAAATACAGTGAACCCAGGCCCGCCTACTCTTAAAGGTACAATAGAGACGAGAGGGTTATAGTCACATATCTGTGTGAGAGGTTTGCAATATGCATCGGCACACAGATTACAGCAAAATAAGTGGAAGGTGGAGGTCAGGATCCAAAAGCCTTCTCCCGATTTGGGGGGAAGCTGGACACCCCAGGAGCATGTGTATGAGAAGCTTATGAATTCTACCCTAAAGAAAGGAGTGGTGGGTGTGGCCTGCTTCAGCACTGTCACCCCATGTTGCTGCCCTCTCAGAATGAGTGTCCTGATGAGCCCATTAGGGTCACTTACCAACGCACAATATAAACTAGGGGAGAGTCCAGGAGGCAGATGAAAGTGTCCACATAACCCAGTGTCCCTGGTTTGGCTGCTGTTCGTTTCCAGGCCCACCTTGAGCTCATCGGTCAGTGTAGAAACTAACTTCCTACAAGAAGGGGAGGTTCTCTGGGAGAGAAGAGGAGAGGAGACCGGCATATCTGGAAAAAAAAGGCCTTGTATTGTGAGGAAATTCAGATCCACGTCCTGCAATCCGCATCCACGCCAGGCTTCCAAGGACAGAGAGGCAGGAGTCAGGGAGCACGAAGTGAGAAGGGGCTTCGGACCAGGAGGTGGTCAGCACAAAGGGAGCCTCGCGTGCCTGGCAGTTGCAGGGGAAAGGAAGCAGAAAGATTCGCTGTTTTGCCAGACTCCGGTTCTCAAGGGGGAAATGGAGTTCTAAAAAACAACAATAAAAATCCATCTTGGAACTCCAAGGTTTCAGGTCTTGCACCCTATTTCCCAGAGCACAGGTCCCCTAACATTGAATTCTCACCTGGACCAGCAGCGGTTGCAGGCGTTGCTGCTGTCTGGAGGCCGTCTTTTCAGGCATTCCCTAAGCGTTCACATTCGTTGGAGCACAATCCTCCATAGCACCGTGTCATCATTTTTATCTTAGTTGCTTCTGTTGTGATTATGCCTATTAATTTCTTATTCATGATATTTTCTTTTGTTCACTTTGCTAGTGGTTTGTCAAATTTCTGAATCATTTCAAAGAACCAACTTCTTGTTGATTTTTTAATATTGTTTTTCTGTTCACTGACTCATTTATTTCAGCTCTAGTCTTTATTATGTATTTATTTCTGGTGGCTGAAAGTTTACTCAGCTGCTCTTGTTTTAATTGTTGAAAATTTTGGGTCAAGGCATTGATTTTTTTTTTCTTGTTTATTATTTTATGTCTGCATTTATTGTTATGAATTTCCCCTTAAGTAATGCTTTGGCTGTGCCCTAAAGAGTTTGGTATGCTGTAGTTTAATTCTCATTTGTTTCAAGGACTTTTAAATGTTCATTTCATTTTTTCTTCAGCTACCGCAGTAGTTTTTAAAAAGGGTTTTGTTCCATTGTCATGCATTTCATTTTTACCCCTTGATCATCCTCTTGATCATTTTAATTTCATAGCATGGTGATCTGAGGGGGAAAATTGCAATGTTTATTCTTTTTAGTTTGTAATATTTCAAATTTTAAATTTTTATTAGGGCTTTCAAATTTTATAGTTTCATTAGGGCTTGTTTTGGGGACTAATATATGGTCTAATCTGGAGATTATTCCATGTGAACTGGATGTATCCTGAGTTGCCATTAGGTGGAGTGTTCTATGTATGTCTAAAACGTCAAGTTGATTGGTTGTGTTGTTTAGTTCTTCTATGTCTTTATTGAACTTCTTTACAATTCTGTCCTCTTTGTGAGTACCGTATTGCTATCTCCTACTCTTATTGTAATATTATCTATTTCTCTCTTTAAGAGTTTGATTAATCTGAGTATTTTATGTGTACATAAACATTTTTATAGTTATGTCTTCTTTTTCAATTGTCCCTTTAATCATTACTTAATATACTTTTTTGTCTCTTATTATGGATTTTTGCATTGAAGTGAAATTTTCAGATATTAATTTTGCCATTCCTACTTATTGATTACCATTAGCTTGATATATTTTTCTGTATAGTTTTTGTGTAATTTGTTTATATATTTTCCCCAGTAAACACCTTCCAAAGTCCTTGGAATTTGAAAAAGGTTAAAATATATATTTGTGTAGATGTATGTGAATATATTGCCTTTTAAGTGTTCTTAACTTTTTCCCCCGAATGTTCTTAATTTTTATGTTATCTTTTTAGCCCTCGTACTAGAATAATTTAAAACATATTTGTTGCATATAGATGAATTATACCATAAAGTATAAAATAATAAAATGCAACTAAAGGTGACATTTTCATTCTTGATCAGAAATAGTATTATCTCCCTACTCTTGATAATTAAATAATCAAAAATGAAGTAAGCCTCCAACATACTAGAGAAAGTATGGACTTGCTAAAATATAGTATATTAAAATGAATCGAGTAGGAATTATTTGTTTTATTGAAAATTTTAATCCATAACTTCTCCATATTTTATGTCACTTACTTAGAGATATTGTTTT